ACACACACATATATATATATATATATATATATATATATATATATTATATATATATATATATATATATATATATATAGTATATATAGTAGTATATATATATATATATATATATATATATATAGCCGAACAATGGCCTAGAAATGTACTAGGGGTATTATTGTGATCTGCGCGCAAGGCCATATAAGGCCATTCAGAGGGGTTGTGGTGACCACACGCAACACTCAACATGTAATACGCCACTGTGAAGATCATACACTATCCACGTACCCCTACTACAGGACCAGAACTACATTGGATACTTGTATATAACCGTGAGGTGGTCACAAAGACGTGCAGAGGCATACTAGAGACCACACACAACACACACTGTCGAGAGATTATACACAACACACACTGTCGAGAGACCATGCGCAACACACACTGTCGAGAAACCATTCATAACATACATAAGTTGTTCTATATTATTGACATACCCCCAACAACGGGCCAGCACTGCACTGGGAGTAGTATTGTTCTGTACTCTCGAAACCGTGCAGAGGCGCTGTGAAAACAGTCTGTGAGTGGATGCAGGTTTAGAGGAGGAGATGTGACGAACTCAATTGGGCAGGACACGGACAGGCGAATCAGTAGACAAAGGAAAGGTGGATTTGTGACTATAAGTCGGATAACGTGTCTGATGATATAATGAGATCAGTTGGTATATAGAATATCAATTATTGCCTTAAACATCCAAGGTGTATCTGAACCAAGTGCCATGGTGTGCACATTGGGCATGTTCATGTGTGAGTACAGCGGAGTTTATTGATTCTCTTTTTAGCTGCCCTGGTAGGTAAGTTCATCGGCAACATATCACTACGTACACAACAGTTCAATGTGCACCTGATAAGCATTGCTATAGGTATGTGTGATTTCACCATGCAGACGCACTTCAGCGCCACAGCACGCGACACACACACAACCAACCGCTCACAGACAGTCACAAGAATACACACACAGAAATAGACTCGGGCGAGTGCACACAGTGAACGTACATCGAACTCTCTCATGGATTTTGCAGCATAAACCTTCGCCATATCTATCTTCTTCTCCAAGACCGGCTCTAGAGGCTTGACCAGGGTCTTCAGACCAGACAGCAAATAGTTGTTCCATTTCTTGCCTGCTGGTTTCTGGTTGGGTGCAAAACATCGAACGGACGAGGTTTACAGCAGAGACTATACAGACAAGATGGCAAATACGCGCCTAGAGAAGCGAGGAAGTTCTGTACTGATAAGATTGATAGAGGAGCAAGCGGTTGCCCGTTGAGACAGTATATGTGAGTAGCATAGAATTGCATGTCATAGCGACATAAACTTTTTATTGCCATGTAGGCTTGATTAAAGCCAGAATAATGTGACGAAGCAGTACAAGGCAGAATATATAAACCTCCATATCACAAAATTATCAGTCGAAACAAAGCACAACCATTCAACTACATTGGTTATACATAACAATCGGTATACATATACTTAACATTTGTATATTTAAATACAAACACACAAACACAAACACACACACATATATATATATTATGCTACCTCCATGGCGATGATGCCTTTGTCGAGATAAAGCGGAGGAGAAATGGCCACCGCAAGTTTCAAGCGATCAGGATAGTCCTTTGCTCTATGGCACATGTAGTTGAGAGTTTGACTTGCACCGAGCGAGAATCCTGTGGTTAATGAATTGTTGATGAGCCTTTAATGAGTCATCGATGAGTCATTGATGACATTGTTGGGCGAGGTGATATGAGCAGTGGTGGCTAATAATCACACTCTTTGTACACAGTTCAGCAAAACTTGCAAGCGCCTGGAGTACACTAGCGTCGTACTCTCGACCACAGCTACGACCCGTCGGACCAACCGCACGATCACAGATGCATACCCACCCGAACGGGAATCAGTTAATACGAGAACACTAAAGGAGCACTACAGAGATACCAATGAAACCAAGACTATATATCGATACCCGCAAGAGGGCCAGGCACATTGTGGTTGGATAGGTACCGTGTAAGGATCACGTAAGTTTTGGCCAAGTCTATAACGGTCAGCTAGCTGGTGTAACCGTGCATACTGCCGACCCAACGACCCAACCAGCATCAAGAATACACATGCTACCAGTACGAACAACAGAACATCGCCAAATGGTACCGCACCATTCCGTGCAAGAGTGGTGAGGTGTGCGAGAGAACACGGGCTTAGAGATCACTTCACACACTCGACTAGAACCTGTCCTTCCCCATGTGGCTAGAATGTATTCAAGCTTTCACAGAAAGTAGACTCGTCAATGAAAAGACGGCAAACAGTGGCGTAGTTCACATACTTGGCGCAGCCCCACAGAGGATGCCGTGAGCGATATGGATGAAGCATAATACATATGATATATCGGAAAGTGGGCAGACGAGCGACGCAACGACTATAGAATCTCAAACACAAATCGACACAGACTCGAGAACACCACACAACGTCCATATACACTATAAATACACACATGCATACATGCATACATGCATACACACACACTCACACACTCACACAACACACACACACACACACATATATATATATATGTATATATATATATAGGTACGTACATATATATATATATATATATTTATATATAAATATCACAACAAATGACTCGGTATATTAACACACATGCAATGCAGTTTGCATACCGCATAAGCCTATCATCGCGTCGGGATATTCCTTCATAATACATTCAAGCACAAAGCCCGGATCGTATATGTCCCCAGCATAGTAGAGACGCGCTTGTCTGTATATAAGTGTGGTATTGGGGTTCAGTTGCATCTCTCGGTACAGATACCTACTACATGACATGGCTAAGACTCAGGCATTGTACGGGTGCGATGCGTCTCACAGTCCGAGGGAATGAGGACGCAAGAGCTACAGCTGATCCCACTGGGACAATCCAGCCCAATACTAGCGCCAATCACCGCCACCCGAGATACTACAATGTCTGCATGACGCACTAACCCACCGCCCGTCATAAGATGGATGAGTAAAGATTAGTTGACGTACAGCGAGACAGACACTCGAGCTTGTAACACGCACCAAGCAGATATAAACAAGTTGTGGTTAGGTCTGCCATTGCTATGGTATACCAATGATTCACCGGACACAGCTGAGAAATTAGCAACCAGTTCTTGCCAACTTAACAAGCGTGGCTGTGTGAGATATGGAATGCCAGCAATCTGCAACGTACATGTATACGATAGCACAGAACAGCGCACACTGACAATCGCGTATAACACACTATGTCGTAGTATACATGCTTCTGGTGGTATGTTATAAGTACAAGTAGACATACTCCTGGTGATATTCTATAGGTGTAAGCATTCAAGATGTCCTATAAGATTAAGTATATATGCTTTAGGTGGTATGTTAAAAGTACAAATACACATACTACCGGTAATTTTTAGAAGTAGAATTATACACGCTTTTGGCGATATTTCATTCATCTCATATATATATATATATATATATATAC